GTTGGAATTTTCTTATTCCAGATTCTTCACTGATGCTTTAATTTCATTACAGTTTGGTCATCTATAAGGATCCCTTCAAAAAATTTAACATTCTTGTTTACATAACAGGCGATTCTTCCTTCATAGACAATATGAATGCTACAAGACGTCTAGTTCTACAATAATCAAATTTTTAACTCGTAAAAATCATGCTTACAAAATGGTCTACTATTTTAAAATTCACATTTTAATAGCACGACTTTATTATTAGAAATGCAGATTTGCATCATTGTCTAGCAAATACACGAAACTAGCATCACAGAGAGTCCATGCAAGAAAATTGAAAAAAGACTAGTCAATATAGTTCTGCTCGTCAATATTTGCAAGGCAAATTTGAAAAGTAACAGAAAAATCATGTGAAAAACAAAGAATGATGTCATGAATTATGATTAGGCACTACTAAAATAATATATCAATGTATCCAGTCAATATTGATACACATACTAAAATCGTTAACGATTATCAAGTTCAAAGAAATTTTATACTTTGGTGATAAAACTTTATTCATAGTTGGTGGTGTTTAATTTTACGTTTGAGTAAATATATATTATCAGGTTAGTCAATAGTTGGAAAACTGTAGAAAAGTAAAGGATTTTTTATGCCGGTGAAATTCATGCACTACTAAAATAATATATCAATGTATCCTGTCAATATTGATACACATACTAACCTACTATATATACGAGACATTTTGGGTGCATTTAGTACAACAAACAAAACAGACAACTGAACTCGGAGGAAAAAGATGGAATTTCAGCTTCTTCCCTTCAACTTCACCACTCTCTTACTTTTCATCTCCTTCATCTTTCTCTTAGTAAAGGGATTGAAGAGACCGATATCCGTTAACAAGAACATAAAATTACCTCCTACTCCATGGAAGCTGCCTTTGATTGGAAACATGCACCAGTTGGTTGGTGATCCTCCTCATCATGCTCTAAGAAAAGTAACTGAAAAGTACGGTCCAGTCGTCCATCTACAGCTTGGTGAAATTCCTACAATTGTCATATCATCACGTGAAGCTGCCAAAGAGGTACTAAAGGTTCATGATCCTGCTTGTGCTGATAGGCCGGAAAGTATTGGAAGTAAGATTATGTGGTATGATTATACTGATATTGCTTTTAGTCCATACGACGAATATTGGAGGCAAATGCGTAANNNACGAATATTGGAGGCAAATGCGTAAACTATGCATTGTGGAGCTCTTAAGCGCCAAAAATGTCCGATCATTTGGCTCTATAAGGCTAGAGGAGGCTTCGAATCTTTTGAAAACTATCCGGTCATCTTCTGGGAAACCCATCAACCTAACCGATCGTATATCCTCATTTACAAGTTCGATGACATGCAGAGCAGCATTCGGTGAAGTACTAAGAGACAAAGACAATTTGATAATGCTGATGAAGGAAGGAACAGCCTTGGCTGGAGGCTTTGCATTGGCTGATTTTTTCCCTTCTTCAAATTTGCTACAAGTCATGAGTTGGAATAAAAATAGATTGTTGAAGATGCGGGGTAAACTTGATGCAATTCTTGACTCCATGATCAATGAGCATAGAGATAGCCTAGCTAAAACCAAAAGAGGCAATGGTGTGTTGGGTGCTGAAGACATAGTTGATGTTCTACTCAGATTACAACAAAGTGGAGAACTTGCTGTTCCAATAACTAATGACAACATCAAAGCCATCATTTTCGTAAGTATTTTATCTATAAGAATTTATTTACTAGTCCAACATCAATAACAATTGTTGTGATTGCAGGACTTGTTTTCGGCTGGAACTGAAACTTCATCCACCACAATGGACTGGGCCATGGCAGAAATGATGAGAAATCCTCATGTGATGGCAAAGGCACAAGCTGAAATAAGAGAAACTGCTGAGGGAAAGAAGACAATTGAAGAGGGCGATGTTCAATTGCTGAAATATCTCAAGTTGGTCATCAAGGAAACATTGAGGCTGCACCCTCCAGTTCCTTTACTTCCAAGAGCATGCAGGGAAGAATGTGAAGTTAATGGCTACACTATACCCCTCAAAACCAGAGTTATGATTAATATCTGGGCCTTGGGAAGGGATCCAGATTATTGGCCTGAAGCAG